GCGATTTGCCATCTTGGCATCCGGGCGTATTTGTGAAAGTGTGAAGAATCCGCCCATCACGACATGAGACCTCCTTTTTGTACGTGGCCTGCGGTATGTGCGGCAAGATACGACTGCGAAACCGTCTGCCGACTGGGGTTTGCCTGCATGCCACCTGGCATGTTGTCTGATTGTCAAGTTGTATGCGGGATTGGCGCCTGCAATTCGGCGAGCCAATACAAGTTGCTGGTCAGACGCATGTGGCAAAAGAGTGTGTGCGTCGCAAAGCATCGCAAGAAGCAAAGTAATCAACAACCGAGCCGGTAACACCCTATTGTGATTGGAACACGGCCGGGTATAGGCAGGATATGAGTGCGGCCGTGACGTGATGTGACAAGTGATCAGAACCTTGCATGATGCCAGGCAAGGACGACGAGGCAGGGTTTTGGTTCCATCGTGCGTATAGAGCCCCGGCTGTTTGGGACTTTTGATGCCAAAGCGTTTGCTGGCGGCTACTACTCTTACTGGCTCAACCAGCCATACTCTCCGTGCCAATGCGGACGTATTGTAGGATATATGATAAAATGCCTCGGGGATGCAGTGATGGATATCCGCATTACCCTGCCCGGTCCTTCATTTTGCGTAGGCGCAAGGGAGAGAAGGTCACCGGTGAAAAGGGTCGGGGAAAAGCAAATACTGAAGCCAGACGAGGTGTGTCGTGAGGCGGAGTAGGGCAGGGGAGGAACAGGGTGTTGGCTTTGACCCGCGAGAAACAGGATACCAAGCCGTAGATCACTGGGGCTCTATCATGTATCGAGACACAGCTGAGAAGCCAACCCTGTCCGTGTGCGAAAGCAGGGCTGCCTGTCGGGGAACGCGACAACCTGTCGTTATCTGCGTTGAACGATGAAGCGAAGCGAACCAAAATTTCGGCGACATAACGGATGTTCACGGCCTCAGACGGGCGTTCCAGCGGCCTGCGGATCCGTGATGTGGCTTATAAGCCCGGGCTCTTGGCCGATGTGGACCAAGTTAGCCCATCCCTACTTTGTTGAAGCGGGAAGAGACGTAGATCTCGGGGTTATTCTGTATCTGGTCGTATGAGTGGCATACAGGCGTCAGGGTTCGAATAGTTGTAGAACGGTCAAGCCATTTAGCTTGAAAGGGCCTAGCAGCGCCGGATGTTAGCAAGCATACCCGTACCTCGACTTGCGATCCTCTCCTTGTTCCACCCTAAATTTCCCAGTGCCGTGGTCGGGAAGGGTTGTACGGACAGGGTTGACACTTGCATATTTTTCTTTTCTTTTGCGTTGGTTTGCATATCAGTAAATGTGAGCTATCACTTTTCTAACACCTGGGCCCACCGCAGATCCTATTCGGGAATGAGGAAAACAGCCCCTGTGGGTGAACAGGTATGATCTGTCCATCCTTGCAAGCAAGAGGACCATAGTGGAGCTTCAAAATTTTGTACCCATACCTACGGATACATGTACAACTTCTAGTCATCGGTTCCTGAGCCGGATCTTCGTTTGGCTGTTCGTCCGCGTTCACCTAGTGGGTAATGCCGTACCGGCAGGCTCGGAGTGGGTCTCGGTAATATGTGGGCCTTCTGCCGCCGGGTTCGGCCTAAACTACCACTCCACTCCGTCTTGTTCTGGACAGTTCTGAGTTTCCGTAAATATTAGATGACATGACCCTTAGACCTTGAACATAGCCCAACCACAAGCCGCAGGGGGTGTTAGTTATAATCGTGCATTTTTTCGCAGTAGCATCTATTACGAGAGTGGGGCTACTGAACAACACTCTGAATTTCTGAAGAGACGAGGCAAAGGGGGGTCGTGGTGAAAAGCGTGCCACACGAGATCCAGAGCCTCTGACCGGCCTGCGGCTAGAACACTGTAATACAATACGTCCGCCAGCTGCTATGCTTTGAGTCATCTTAGGATGGGTCATATCTGAGATGCATCTGGTGATTCCGTGACGCATACCTTGAATAACATTATCGGCTGCAACCGGCCAATGGACTGGTCACAGGGTCGTGCGCCTTTCCAGCCGAATTGAACCCACTGTAGTGCCTTTTTAAAAGTCTAATCTGGCCAGGTCTCGGGTCTAAAAGCCACTTGTTGATGCTGTTGCATTGTCATCGGTTGTTCACGCACCTCGGTGGTTGTATCGTCGTAGTCTGGTGTGACGCAACCGTATAAAGATCGGATCAAGAAGCTACATGTGTCTTCTTGTGGTCGCCTCTAGTGTAAGTTCATGGCATGGAGGAAGCGAAACTCTCTCGAACGTCGAGACAATCAAAAATGTCTGTCCGTCACTTAGAAGATTCTTGCAGTTGAGTCAGAAGGCTGCCGTACTGCCGATAATCTGAGCGGCGCCGCGACTTGCTGACACCGCTATGTGTTCAGTAGTGTTGATGGGGATAATGCTAATCGAATATGGGTATGTCTGGAGACGTCAACCCGCGGTTTATTCTCGAGAGACGCTCATTGTGCCCACATCTTGTGCAACACGTTGAAGTAGTATCCACATACAATTCGTTGCTCTAATCGTCGGATTGTGGCGTAACAGGTCTCATACATATAGATACTTCCACCATGGGAGCAGAATAAGACTAACATCGACTGCAGTCTAGTGGACCAAGGGAGAACCATCCTGCGAATATAATATAACAGCAGGCATGACAGAGAACACCTGGGGTAGTACATACACTTACTTTCTGCTATTGAGAAATGAAGGGTGTCTCATGCTCACGGATTGCAACAAGCATGGCCGATGTTTGCCGCTATTCAGCATGGAACTCTGAAACTTGAAATCTCGGGAGTTCAGAATCCATTGAGCCCCACAGTCCGATATAACTGTTGCCAGACCCGAGACAAACGAATACAGAAAATATCGACCTCTGCTAGACTAACAGGTTTGACGTCAAATCCGAATGTGCCATCCTGTCATAGACCCGCGTGTTAGTACTCGTCGAACCGCAGCTGCCCAGCTATCATGAGATCACTGGCATAGCAAGCGCAACTTTGCAAGTGTCATAACTCGAATAAGTCTAGATGTAACGAATATACGGCAATATTGATAATGACCAAGAAAAGAAGATCGAGCAAAGGGTTGCGCTCCCATATTCATACTGTCCCATTGATACAGGACGAGGTTCGAGGATGGGACACGGCAAGCGTGTAGAAGACGAACGTGGCAAGACAAACAGAAATCTCACAATGGCCCTGACGCAGAACAACCCAAGCCTCTCATCCCGCCGTTTTCTCCTCGGTTTTCCTGAGTAGGCAACTAAGCGAATTTCCTGCAATATCTCATTAGCCAGATATTCCCATATCTAGAAGACTGCCATAGTTGTTCAAAGACAGAGCTACGTTACACATCTAGCGTTGGGTGCAAGCACGCAACTAGCGGATGTCCACGCCTCAGAACGTGACGGCTAATACCACTGGCAGCAATTCGTTCAGAACTCAGGATATTCCAGAGGGAGAAAGCTTGACATGGGTTGTCCTCTTCTGAGCCTGGCGTAAACTTACATAAGGCGGGTCGTCTTGCAGCTTCCAAACCCTCGCAGCAATTGAATTGCCGCCTAAAATCGTCACATCTTCATCTCAAGCGTACAAGGTAGCGTGTTGAGAACCGTGGGTTATGAGTGCTGACGAATTCCGTGACAGTGTTGAAAGTGGAGTGGTGCTAGTCAATAGCCATGACCAATTATTGCGAATAGCATTGGTTTACTTGGATGAAGCGTTGTAGGATAGCAGAGGCGTGTTTGATGTTGTTAATCAACTTCAAGCACGTATTTGGTCGTTTAGCGAGGGAGACCTTAAGTTTGACTGGTAAGATTGTTCTACAGAACAAACTGTGTAGTTGTGATAAAGCAGGCTAACTATAGAAGCACCTTGGACATATTCTATCTTGCCTAACTAGTAGCTAATATATACTGTTCCTTAGACTAAGGCGAGGGCAAGTTTGCGTTAGCAGTTGGTTTTAATAAATTTAACGTAGAGCATTACAAGCTACTTAGCAACACTGTTTAGCAAAAGTACTTGTCTACTTTCCTTGCACAGCTAACCTCGGCTAGTTTAGGATTAGCAAGACTACAGCTAAGCAGTAGATTCGAGAGACACTAATAGTTATAGAGCTATACGTGCGCAAGAAGGATATATGGCCTGCCTTGGAGGAGGATTAGGGTGAATTGCTCTGGCAGATTCTGGTTGAGAATGGACAGCTGTTTGCAAGATGGAAGCTCTCAGACTCTTCTAAAGAGTTCAATTTCAAGCTAAAACCAAGGAAATAGAGCTGGCAGGATGTTCCCCTGGCAGCGCCATGAGAATAACAATACAAATAATTCTGACTTTATTTTCCACGTTATGCACTATATTGATACTGTCGATACTGTTTCATTGATACTGAACGAGGTTTGGGGATCGATACGGCACATACCACCCGTGATGGGTTGACCAACGCCGCCTAGAAGCTGAAGTATTGTGCATCGAGGTCTGGTCACGGCGATGCTAGGAAGGCAACTGCACAGCAGGGAGTAATATGATCAGAGTCAAGGCATCGCCGACCATGTTGCCAAAACCAAGAGGGGCCTCGACCTGATAGATTTTGAACGCCAAGCTGATGCGGTCAATGATCATCACACAATGACCCTGCCTGGCATCACCACTACCCGCAAGTTTGTACTCCGCATCCTGTACGTTCACAGCATGCAGGGAGCCGGAGAGTGTTGCAGTTTTGTCATTTTCAAATGAGAGGACAAACATAGCTAGGAGCATTTACGTTGCGGCCTACCGGAGATGTATGGGGACACCTTGACAAACTACGAGGAACGGGTACATGGGAGAGAGGGTGGCCGCCTTGGATTTGAGCTCTACATGTAGTCAGCCTGCTTCTTGAAGTCAAGAAGCCGTGTCTCTCTCTAAGAGAACGAAGACACCACCACCGTGGACAGGCAAAACACAACAAAACACAAAAACATACAACACCAGGTATTCGCTGGTCGTCACCGACCCAACTACTAATCCGGCCCTCACTGGCTTATCTATGGGAGAGCGGACGGGATCCCGAGTTCTCCAGTGGGTATGGTCGTATGTGTTATGGTGCCGCTCCCGATGTGCTTATAACAGCCTGGTGGGCGACGATGAGGAAGATCCCCAGACGGTCCATGTTGCATATGGAATTTATTACTTTAGCTCAGTAGCCTCCAGCCTTTGCTTTAGTATCCTTCTTTGATACACATCTAGGTAGACATGTATATACATGAGCCGGCTCTACTCATGATGGAATGTAGGAGACCATGTGACGGGACCGCGATCATCTCGAAGGTTGTACAAACATGAGCATCGGCGACTCGGGCTGCTGAAACCCAGAAACTTCAATTCAGGCTCAAACGGCGGCCGCGGCGCCGCCTCGGGGTAATGGTATACCTCTACCTAGAAGGGTGTTGCAATTCATATCTCATGATCCTAATGCGCACGCGCGCCGCCACCATGCTTTATTCTAGAATGTGTCTGCAAAGATAACGCACGTTAGCTCAACCCTCGATGGAGTAGAGTATGCGATAGAAAACCGAGACGGATACTCACCCAAGGTCATGCTCATGCTAACATCCGTGTTCTCCACCATCTTGGTGAACTCCTCGAAGCTGATCTTGCCGTCCTTGTCCAGGTCCGCCTCCATGATGGTCTTGTCGACGATCTGCTGCAGCTGCTGGTCTTTGAGGTTGCTGCCAACCATCATCTTGAGGACAATGAAGAGCTCGCCGTTGCTGATGTAACCGTCGCGGTCAATGTCGTACACCTTGAAGGCAAAGCGCAGCTTCTGCTCCTTGTTGCCCTTGCTCGAGAAGGCGCTGAGGCCGGACACGAACTCCTGGAAGTCGACGTCGCCGCCGCCGTCCTCATCGAAGATGGCAATCATTCTGTACAGGGAGTGCCGTCAGCAACATGGTTCGGGTGGTGCATTTGGTCGGAGACGGGTCGGCTACCTTGTGGCTAGCGGGTTGGAGGAAATCTGGGGGAGGCTGAGGAACTCATCGCGCTCGATCGTGCCAGAGTTGTCCTGCAAAGGAGTCGGTCAGCATGGGACATTGGTTGGCTGAAGAAGAAACTACAGGAATAAAGTGTCGCAGGAAAACATGCCTTATCCAGCTTCATAAAACGTTTCCTCAGACGGTCAACCTCATCTCTGTCGACTGCCTGCGCGTCAGCACGCCCGAGTCTGTGCGACAAAGAAGTCGACTGCGGGGGAGGGGCTCACAGTTGGACCCCTGGACAATATTGTCCAACACCGCACTAGTAGTGTTGCCCATGATGAAGAAAGTGAGCGATCGGTCTCGACTAAAGCTGTGAGGATGCGCAGTGTGTGCGAGTGTGTGTATAGCTGGGGCAAATGCTCGGTCGTGGAGGCTTCGTCGTAGGTAGGCTTTATGTCGAGCTCGAGTTCGCTAGGTCGCCGTGGGGTTAGCCTTGGAGGGTGGGTGAGTTAGGATGTTGACAAGTGCAAGGCAGACTAGGACAAAGTACATTAGGTACGGACGTGGGGTGGTCAAACTAAGGACAGGCGGCGAACAGGCGCCGGATTGGACTGGGCGGGATTGGACGTTGATTCGGGCAGCTGGACAGGCGACCTTAGGTGCTGAGCCAGAGACGGCAGAGCGCACCGCCAGCGCAGGATGCATACGCACAGACCATTTTCTGGATCAAGTCACCTCCATTTGATAGACGTAGACGTGAACGGCAGGCACAAAGTGTCAGATGTATCGGCATTACTATTTGAGTTTCGGGAAGATGGCATGAGGACAAGAAAAATTAATGAAATTGAGATGCGCTTTTTCTTATCTGTTCCGGAATACCCAAAATCGCTCACCATCGTCCCATACATCGCCGCCCACCTCATGCTGCATTCTCGCAGTATCATATTCGACTGGCACGTGACATACAGCTTCCCCTATTTCCAGGCGGCTTTTGGGCAGGTGCCAGTCACTTTCACAGTACGTCGGCGAGTCTTTGCTTCCCAGGTCCGATCCGGCTGCTGGTCCGAGCGTCTCCAAAGTACCAGCTCCGCGCATTTACTACTGCATGGTACTTCTTCTCGACGCGGGCGACTCAAACCTTCTTCGAAAGTCCTGGACTGAAAACTCTGCACCCGCGAACATCAACGTCACCTCATCAAGCAGCGAGAGCTCGGCCATCAATCCAAACCCAACAACGTCGATTTTTATCCCTCAAAACTGCAAAAGTCAGTGTCGCATGACCCCCTGTATGACTTGATCGACTTTTTTTTGCGGAATTTCCGCTGGCTTTCCGCCTTCGACCCCCCCGCCCGCCATCATGTCTACCAGGAAAGTCCGAGTCAAGAAGTTGAGCGTCAAGACGCTTCTTCCTGTGCTTAGAGAGGATGATATCGACGCTGCAGAGAAAGAATCTTTGACCACAGAAACCCAAATCGCGACCGGTGTCGAAGCAGCCGAGGAAACAGTAAGCCACTACTCCCTCCATATTGCTGCCAGATATCACGTGACCCACCATGTGACACGCTTCGGCACACCCCCCTGCTTACCCACTTCTTACCTACTGCCCACCGTCAGCGATCCAGCCCGTATACTGACCTGGCGCCCTTAGGAATACCATCTCCAATCCATCCTCAAAGAGGCCGGTACTAGCAATGACCAAGAAATTCCTGTCCCGCCTCCTCAGGAGAGCCAGATCAACTATGATCTGCTTTATCCCAGTCACTTCCAGCAGCCTACCTCCTACATTCGTTTCTCGCAGACTGTCGAGGAATGCATAGGAGTTTCCTATGACATGACATCAGAAGACTATGAATTTCTGAAGCAGTATAACTCTACCAAAAAGACTGTCGCCTCTCAACTGTCAGAGGATGACTTTGAACGCATTATGGAAGTGTTCGAGGAGACTGCCTCTGAACAGACCCCCTTCGCATCAATAGACAACACCGTTGTTGGCTATGATTTGATGGTTCCCTCACTTACCTCGCTCGGTGGCAACAAGCTCATGGCGCATGCTAAGCATGTGTATGAGCACTGGAAGTCGCGCCGGCAATCGCTCGGCAACAAGCCCATTCATCCCAGCGTCAAGTTTGAGACGCACCAGGAGAGCGATGAGGCCGATCCCTATGTCTGCTTCAGACGTCGCGAGGCCAGACAGACGCGAAAGACGAGGCAGAGAGACGTCCAGAGCGCCGAGAAACTCAAGCGACTTCGCAGAGAACTCGAGGATGGTCGACAGCTCATCATCCAGTCTTATGAGCGGGAGATGCTTAAACGTGAACTACTCACCTTTGACCGCGCTATATTTGAGCAGAGGGCCAAGCTCAAGGAAATGAAGGTTAAGCTTGGCATTAAGACCGAGGACGAAGACCTCATCAATCACAAGGTATGTGATATTCCGCAGCCCGAGGACCCGGAAATAGGTGCTGACGGAGCACAGCCTCCCAAGAAGAAGCCTGTAGAAGCACCTGCTCTTCAAAAGCCACCTGGCAGCCATCTTCGCATTGCTGTGCGTCCGGATGGCCGGTCCATGGAGGCAGATCTCTTGCAGCTGGCGGATAAGCTTGCTGAAAAGGAGAACGAGTTGCGGGCGGATGTTGAAAGCAAGGTCCACAACCATAGGAAGTGGAACCAGAACCATGTGGATCTCACCAGAGATCCCCTATCACCGGTCAGGGAACAGGGTATGGAGGCCAGCTTCCGACCGGCCAAGACCCAGTACCTCATGACACCCCCGGCGTCCACATCATCTGAGTCGGAAGCCATGGACGTCGACGATGAAGCAGAACCATTTGTTGATAGAGGTAACATGCCGGTGTTCCAGTTCAAGGCGGGAGGCAAGGAGAAGCCCCCCAGCAGCCAGCCAGCGTTCCGTCGTCGTATTGGACGACTAGGTCGTTTGTGGATCGACCGTCGGGGAATGACAACGCCGCCGAGGATGGAGGGTGAGGAATATAGTGATCGATGGAAGTATGACCAAGACGACGAGGATGAGACGCCTGTGTACGAGGTCGACCCGTACGACACACGAGCGTTGAAGTTCCGGGCCACCATCCCACTGTCCCAGTATGTCTACCAGCGCCGGCAGCTTCCGCACGAGGGCTTGGCCAACGGCCAGGCGCCTCCACAAGCAGCAGGAGTAGCTGGTAACCGGCCGACTTTGCCACAGCCTGCAACGCCACAGGCACAAGTGGCACTGCAGCAGCAGCAACAACAGCAGCAACAGCAGCGGCACCCATCGCAGTCGTCGCCGCCAGCTCAAGTCGCACCACCTCAAGTCGCGCCGCCTCAGGCGCCGCCAGCTCAGGCTGCTGCCTCATGAGGGATGGACAGGCTGTAGAGACGCGAAAATCTGCTCATCATCCCCGGATGAGGTTTGTTGTATACCCCCTTGGTGTTTGGTTGTCTTTTGGTTTTGTACAGAAAGCCTGGCAGCAGGTTGGGCGGTCGGGTTGGCATGGCGTTCTTGAGTTGTGGTAGCTCTCATGTAAAGTATATGAATGTAAAGGCGGCATGGCGACGAGGAGTTGGGAGGCAGGCAGTCTGCCTAGACCAATGCATTGGGCGAGGAAGATAGATCTCCCACCATAATGAAGAAGATCAATATTGACCTTCCATGTTTGAGGCCATTGCCATCCTTGTACAAGTGCTGATTATGTATAGAGGCGGGATGGGGCTCGTTTCTCGTGCGCGCTCGCCCGATGCTTGTGGATGTGATGCTTAAGGTCGTCATGACGGCGGTGGTCAACGTCATGTGCTTTGGCCTCGAAGTCTCGGAGTCGTCGCCAGGCACTCTGTGGTACGTGCTTGTGTGCAGCGAGCACAAAGGAAGATGGACGTGTGAATAGAAGATTCTGGCGTCATTGTGAGCATCAGCCAGCCTCTGGTGGTGTTGAGCGGAGATGTGCTATGTGAGGTGACTCGGAGAGTTTGCGACGAACAGGTGGTCCGGCGCGGCATTCTGCGGAAGTAGGCGATGACACCCCAGGCAGACTCCTGAATCCCGCAAAACCCTCTTCTTCGGGAAACTCGCGGAGGGAAGGCTGCGAAGGGGGCGGCCCAGACAAGCCTTATAGGTTGTAAAGGAGAAGAGAAGTCAGAATGCCCAGTGGTGGTGAGGTGTCAGCAGACTTGGACCTTGGTCATCCAAGGCCCCCCCCCCCCCCCCCCCCCCCCATTCGGCAGACCTGTACCCGCAGATCCTCCCGGTGATCATAAGACCTGAAGTCTCGGGGGCGCTGTCGTTCACCAGAAGGGGGAGGGAAAATAAGAAAGGTAGAGAGGAATGCATGACTGGGGAAATACGGCACAGAAGAGGGGGAAGGGCATTGAAAAGAGGAGTAGACGAGAAAACCAAGTAGAGAGAGAATTGTGTAGTGAAGAAAGAGGAGAGCCCACTTCTTGTCGAGGCTTGTCGGATAGTGGGTGTGGGGATAATTGCGTTGCACCTCCGGTGTACCTTGTGTGGCCCGGCTTCTTGTGCTCTTCGTCTTGTGCTTCCCAGGTTCTCGCTGAAGTGACAGCGTTTCCTATCCGCCCCTGTTCAGGAAGAATTGAGAAGATGGTCGATTCCTGGGAGGATTGGTTTCCTACGAGACGGCGTGAGCGCGAACGGCATTTGCCGGAGCGGTGGACGGGAGGAGAAGGTCAGCGTACCGAGAGGGAAGGCTGGGCTGGGCTGGGCTGAGCTAGGGTGGTCACGGTTGTTGCGCAAAAGCCAGCCCAGGGCAGAGACGCTAAGGGTCCGGTGTGGTGGGAAAGACGGTTGTGGCAGTTGTGCAATTCAGCATCCTGAGGTGCGCTTGGGGAGGGCCCGGCCGGGGCAGGGGGCCAGTAGATTACGATTTTGATCCACAGTTCTTTTATGGAGGGGCGGGCGGCATCCCACCAACGACGTTAGTAGTTACCCCTCCTACGTCAACTTTTTTTTCTAGAGGCCTCGGCCATAGGCCCCTGTTGCGACAGCGAGATAGAGAGCGAGTCGAGATACTGTACGGATCTTTGGATTGGAATACCGGGCACGTGTACATCTTGTTACCTAGACACAGCAAGCTACCACCATCACCACAGCCCAAAGTAATGGCCGAATCCCCCTCCAAGCTGACGACAGCAACCATGTCCAAGAAGCGCGGCCTCCTCGCCCTCGGCTGCGAAGGCTCCGCCAACAAACTCGGCATCGGCGTGATGCTCCACAACGGTACCGAGTCCACGATCCTCTCCAACGTCCGACACACCTTCGTTTCGCCGCCTGGGACGGGTTTCCTCCCCAAGGACACGGCCAAGCACCACCGCGCTCACTTTGTCCAGCTCGCCCGCCGCGCCCTCCGCGACGCCGGCGTTGCCCCCGCCGACCTCGACTGCGTCTGCTTCACAAAGGGCCCCGGCATGGGTGCGCCACTGACCTCGGTCGCCGTCGCCGCCCGCACCCTGAGCCTGCTGTGGGACAAGCCTCTCGTAGGAGTAAATCACTGCGTTGGCCACATCGAGATGGGCCGCACCATCACCGGCGCCCGGAACCCCGTCGTGTTGTATGTCAGCGGCGGCAATAGCCAGGTCATCGCCTACGCCGAGCAGCGGTACCGCATCTTCGGCGAGACC